TTTTAAATAAATCATTATTACATGCGTTGTTTTTATTTTTAGTGTATATGATTTTTAAAAATAAATAATTATTACACACCGTGAGCAAGTCCTTGTGAAATATCATAAATTTACAATACCAAAAATCAATTTGTTTTTAAAATTATCTATATTCATGAACACAAAATATATATTACTTTTTAAAAACAAAATGGTATTTTTATTTCATGTGTTAAAAGAAACATTCCGCTACAGAATTCACAGGAATATAACTATAAAATCTCATGAAAAAAAAATCTCTGTCCTTTTTTTTTGGGGGGGGGGGGCTACTGGTATACAAATGTTTAGTTTTCAAAGATTGACTTTTACCATGAAAAACTTTTTAATGGCTTTTACATCATGAATAATTCTTATTAATTCGTTATTTTTTTTAATAATGCAGCGGTAAGTATCTGTCAAAATCTAGTCGGTCTTCAATGATTGTTATTTCAAAATCGATTTTCAGAGGAACGGCCGATCAGACTCAACATGACATCCGACCAGATGTATACACATTGAGAAACGGGGTAAGATTAACAGATGATCAGTGTACAGTAAACCGACTGGTGAGACAATAGACCTTAATTAGGAGTCCCCCCGTCCCCGGTTAACTAACAGGAAACTATACATACACAACGTACACTGACAGATTTTAATGATCAATTATTTTTAAAAAAATTAAATTTAACGCAAGCATATAACAAATTAAAAATTATGATTCATCGTAAAAAGTCAATTATTTTGATACCCATTATGATACAAAAAGAATTGAAACTGAATATGATATTCTAAAAAAAGTTTTTGTAAACGTAATTAACCAGGTAACTCTTACGCGAGGATTGTCACTAAATTGTTGACACAGAAACCGTTAATATCCGCAGTATATTAAAAATAATAGTAGAATCTGTTTTTTCCTCTTTCTTTTTCGATGATAGACTTTTGTGTTTTATCTACAACAGTGGGACGGACAACTTCGGAATGGACATTTTTCCGAACTTGCGCACCCTTTTCCTTTAAAGCTATCATCTTAGGGTTTTTTTTAAATGGTGGGGTTTTTATAATCAAATTGATTTATGAAAAAAAAAATTCAAAATTTTCTGCTAGTTTTTGAGATATTTGAGTTCAAAAACAAAAATCCCATGGGGAAACATGAACTTAAAAATACTCCACAAAAAACCCCACAAAAACCCCATGGGGTTTATTTTTCACCCCATGGGGTTAAATAACCCATATTATTTTTCGTGGGGTTTTTTAACCCACGTCTCACTAAAAATAAAATGTGGGGTTTATTATCCCATAATTTTTTATGTGGGGTAAAAAACCCCATATTATTTCTCTTAATGCTTGTAATTATCAAGTGAGAATTATAAAATAAATATTGTTTGGAGTTGCAACATAAATTAAGTACAATACATGTACATTTTTTATCAACTTTGTAACAATTTAATTAATTTTTTTTTCAAATTCATTGATATACAGTACCTGGCCATAATTGAGTCATAATTTTATTTTTACACTATATATTTCATTGAAAAACCTATTTTCATAAAAACTTGTTGTGAAGTCAATTTTAGCTCAATTTTCATGATTTTTTCACTGAAACATGCAGAATTATTCAAATTTTCTTATCTTAAATGATAAACAAAATGATACTTAAACTATTGAGAATAAATCATAAAATATTGTCATGACAAAATTTTCTAACCTCAAATTACTATGATTTCTTAACAAATTGAAGTCTTAAAATTTTTGTTTTGCACTTGACCTGTGATTTTACGGTAATGCATAAAGATAAAACTATTTTGAAATAATGTGAAGAAACTACAACAAATTCTGCATTTTATGGTGTTTTAGACATTAAAAAGAAACAATAAATGACTCTGCAAGAATATTTTAGAAAAAATGTGTTTCCTAATGAAATATATAGTGGAAAAATAAAATTATGACTCACTTATGGCCAAGTACTGTACATTTATCACTGCATATGTAAATTAGACATGGCATAAGCATGATAAGAAGGGAATTAAATTATATTTTTTTGACTGACCCGTAAGTGAAAAAGTAAACAAATACGGATTAAAAGTTTGAAAGTTAATATATTCCAAGTGGGGGAGAGAAATGAATATAAAAAAAGACATTGGAGTGGACCGGCAATTTCATCAGAAAAACAATGTAAAAAATAACGTGACTTTGTTTACGCTAGCGTAGCTCACAGGTTATTGTTTTCACTATTTTACTGATAAAACTGCCGACTCCTCAGTCCTGTGACCTGTTATTGAACACTGTTGATCATGAATCACATAGTAATGATAGTTGTTCTACTTACATGGAGTTTAGTTTGAGCTCTGCTGTTTGTAGCATAATGGACTTGATTCAAACAAAGACAAAAACTTCTCTACTTTTCAAAGAATGTTTTTGAAATTGATTGAAAGAGACCAAATCAAATCATGACTTGTGATACTTCGGGTGCGTTCAGAGTACTACCGTTGGCTGACAAAAGTTACCATTGGTAGAATTTTTTACCATTGGTATGCCATTGGTACCAAAGTTTGCCGAAAAAATTTACCATAGGTAGATTTTTCTGCAGACGAACTAGAGCTCTGTTAGCGATGGTAACTTTTTTTATGACGTCACGAAAAATGGCGGGTATGGCATATGTGCTTAAAGCGACAGATTTTTTATCTCAACTTTTTCCTTTAAACCTCGTTGTTGCAGGAAAAAATTACCGTATATTAACAAAGGCTTCAAACATTCAGCATATATCTGACAGTAAGTATGCACACTTTCTGATATATAGTCTTATAAAGTGACCGTTGACGAATGAACAGATTTCATTCGGAATTTCCTCTGTTCTTACACGTTAGTCTATGTGAGCGGCGCTTTGCACTGCTTACTTAAACAAATATATATAATCATATAAGGAATAAAAACCATTTTTAAACTCATTCCCAGTTCCTTAAACAAATTATATATATCGGGAATACCCGGATAGGTTGGAAATTTTTTGGTAGAAATATGACAATGTTTTAATCATAGTAAATCTTAATTGATACTTTACCCTGATATTAATGAAATATGTTCAAAAACATTTATTTATTTTTGATGTATACAAATAAAACAGTTTTCGCCAATTTTTAATTAAAAAATTATTTAGAAATCTGTCTCAAAAATATAGTCTTAACATGCTTACCCGTTTATTTTTCTCACCATAGTCACATAAACGATACAAATATTATCTTTTTAGGCCTAGTATATGAAAAATTAATAATACTGAGTTATGTTCAGCTTGTTGCATTGAACAAATCAAAAATGCTGATAGAACTTAAGGTTTTATGATCTTATGGTAATTCATTAATTAACATTTTTTCTTTTCTTAAAATTACTAGATCTTGATGTGGTATCTAATCAATTAGAGAAATTACTACCTCCTGACCCCCCGAAGGATCCAATATTTATTGACTGTATTGATGGAGAAGTAGTCATTCCACAAGTATTATTCCGAAATGATGAAACGCAGGATAATAGTGAAAGTAGCTCCTCATCCTGTCAAGCCAGCACCTCAGATCGTGTTCTTCCGCGTGATCAAGCCAGCACCTCAGATCGTGTTCTTCCGCGTGATCAAGCCAGCACCTCAGATCGTGTTCTTCCGCGTGACCAAGCCAGCACCTCAGATCGTGTTCTTCCGCGTGACCAAGCCAGCACCTCAGATCGTGTTCTTCCGCGTGATCAAGCCAGCACCTCAGATCGTGTTCTTCCGCGTGACCAAGCCAGCACCTCAGATCGTGTTCTTCCGCGTGACCAAGCCAGCACCTCAGATCGTGTTCTTCCGCGTGATCAAGCCAGCACCTCAGATCTTGTTCATCCGAGTGATCAAGCCTCAGATCTTGTCCCTCCGAGTGAAACAGAATTCCCCATGCACCAAGATGACAATAGTGATTGGGAAGAGTCAGGATCAAAATCAAGATATGAATGGAAACTGACAACAACCAGAAAACTCCTAAATATATTAGAGGAAAAGAAAAAAGTTGCACCAGATTCTTTTTCTATAAACAAAAAGATATGGGCGGGACTATCAAAAGAGCTGTCCAAAAATGAAGTAAATCCCCCGTCTGCCAGTCAATGTCGTGAGAAGTTCTACACATTAAAAAGAGGCTATAGAAAATTTTTGTCCGAATGCAAGAAAACTGGAAATAAAACCCCTAAACCATTTAAGTACGAAACTGAAATGCAGAGTATACTGGATGGGGACCCATCGTTCAAACCATTATTTCTTTGTAGCTCTTTTGGTTTGAGAAAAGATGATGCTGACCGTGAGTCAGATGAACCTGAGGAAGATGATGATGCAAGCACCAGCAGTGCTTCAACTTCAAGACCATCAACTCCTGTTCCTACAGCTACATGTAAGACAAAGAAAAGAAAAATTGATGAGATGAGAGAATACTTTGAGGAGAGAGATAAAAAATTCTTTGACATAATGGAAAATATGCAGAATAGCAATAAAGAACTCTTGACAAAATTAATTGAAAAATTGGGCAAATAGGGACTGAGTACACAACACCACACATTACAAATTTTTTGTCTGTATAACTTGACGAATATTAACAAAACTAATTAGAGTACAGTAATAAGTCCTTATCACTGCACAAGTGAAAACACTAGTCAGGGTTAAAGTAAGCATCCTCTTCTTTGGATAAGTTGTTATTATTTTGACATCCTGAGATACACTAATTAAGATGTCTTTCATGTTTTGAATTTAAACATTTAAAACTCTTTTTATTTATATTTAGCTATACAAAGAAATTGTATTTATTTTCAGCTATACAAAGAAATTGTATATTTTTTTTTATTTTAAAAATGAATAAAGTTGTTTAAGAAAATGTTTAATGTTCTGAATATTTGCATTGAACATGGAATATTAAAATAATATTAAAGTATTGAACAAAGTCAACAGTCTACTAATTGTAGAAAATGTTATTGATAGTTCATATCAACTGGTTCATCATCTGTTGTCTGGTTTGAATTCCTTGGAGTTGATGACCGTCATGGGCAGGTGGCATGTCAAAACAAGCTTCAAATTCATCTGGTACTTCGATAAAGTCTGTGTCTGAAATACATAAGTTATGTAAAACACAAGCAGCAAGTATAGACTCTACTAGGATTTTAATTTTTGAAGACTCAAATCGCAAAAGTCTCCTAAACCGACACTTTAATAAGCCAAACGATCTTTCGATGACTTGTCTGCTACGGCTGTGCTCCTTATTAAATTTTCGTTGTTGCTCAGTTAGGTTGCCAAAATTCCGAAAAGGTGTTATGAGCCACTGAAGTAATGGAAAGGCTGAATCCCCCAATATGACATAGCCAACAGGAATCTTTTCATCACTCTTTTGAAAAAGATCTGACATTCGCATTACTGTTGCATCATGCGTGCTTCCAGGATTTCCTGTCCAAACATAGGTAAATTCCATTTTGGAATTGCAGCATGCCAGAAGCACCACAGAGTAAAATTTCTTTCTATTGTAGTAGGCCTGTGGCTGGTGTTTGGGGGCCTTTATCGGAATGTGACTGCCATCCAAAGCACCCACAACATTTTGAAATTGACAGTTTTCTCCAAATTTTTGACATGTTTCATTTAGTTCTGCTTGTGATAAAGGCCATCTAATTACTTCTGCCATAACACTTATCAAGGAGGAGGATACTCTAGTAACACTAGCGTGAAAACTTCCTTTAGATGTACCAAACCTATCAGCCATAGATCGAAAACTCTCAAGGTTTCCTAAGTACCACAAAAACATCAACAGTTCTTTTTCAAGGTTAGGGGCAGGGCCCTTTTGATTGTTGTAAGCGTTAACTGTTGATAATCTCTGGCACGTACTCTCAAATGTGTCTCTGGACAAACGAAAATGGGTTTTAAATTCATCAAGTGTATACGAGGGTATAGTAACCTCATAGTAATGCCTCACTCTAGTCATTTCATCTGAAGATCTACGCAAGTTTTGTAGGAGAAAATAATCTGGAAGGGAGAAGTACTTCATTGAACTAAAAAAAGTATTTCTAAACATACTCTCTTGTTGTAAAATGATGCATGAAGCAATTATTATATTTTCTTCGTTGGACATTTTCTTCTAAATAATAAGCCAATGGTAACCAATGGTACACCAATGGTACCATTGTTAACATTGGTGAGATTCCTACCAATTGTACCCAAAAAACCGTTCAGAGTAAATATGGGCCCAATGGTACCAACGGTACAAATTGTTGCCATTGGCAAACAGGTGATGGTACCAATGGAAATACTCTGAACGCACCCTTCTAATTCCTCATTTTGGCACCATTGTCACCCACATCTTTTTCTTTCCCTATGTATAAGGGTGTAGGGTGGTTTCGCGCCGATTACGTGTTCGCGCCGAGTGGTATCGCGTCGGGTGGTTTCGCCCCATTTATCTACAGGTAAGATAAGCAGTATGGCTTCCCCCTGATTACCTGTAATTATATAACTTAGTACCTTGTAGTTAATAAACCCCAAGCGTTAATGTCGTGTTATTTCGAAAAATTATCCCATTTTGTATTAATACTTATACATGTAGTGAGGCCATTTTTAGCCAAATTATGACTATTCCCCATTTTCAAAAGGTGAGTTATTTCCCCTGAAGGGAACTCTTTTACTGTGTTTAATACGCATGCGCTATAAATAAAGTCACTTCCGCGGACGTTCTTGATGTAAACATGTTCATGGTGTATGCCTCTGTCATATGGAAAAATGTTATTGTGTTTGTGAATAAAAAGAAATCTTAACCGATTCGTATTTTTTTTAAAATTGCCCACTCATAGTCTCTTTCTGGATTTGTATTAATCTGCGTAGTACTATAATAAGGTGCTGTTTACCCCCCCCCCCCCCCCCCCCCCCCCCCCCTTACAAAAAAAAAAGAAAGAAACAAATTACTGATAAAATGCTGATACATATTCGAATAGGCCTATTTAAAAAAAAACAAACAAACAAACAAAAGCTAATTTTCGGTAGTGGATGTTCTGCAGACGGATCATCATTATTTACAAAATGTGCGGAACAAATTTTAGTTATAAAGTTTTTACGAATTAATCTAGCCTGCTGCAGCCATATTTTTATTGTATCTCTAAGAATTTTTTGAAGACTGATGACATGTCTGAAATTGCTGCATATACAGCAGTAGTTCGTCTTCCGCGACCGATACCAAGAAACTGCGTTTTTGCTCGATTGTAAATGTCATAACATCTAGAACTTTTACTTAAAGAACACATTTGGTGACAATTAAAGGCCTATTTCATTTGAATTAACTGTGTTTCTAGAATTTTTTATTTGTAAAATAATTGATTCACTATTTAGTATTAAAACTTTGAATGGAATTGTAAATGAATAATTTAATCTCATGTGCTCATGTAACGAAGAAAGACTTATTAAAATAGCATCGACTTGAATTCATGTTACATATGTCGTATAAAGTCTGAGCTGCATTTAATCAAAGTTTTAGTGTAGGATCTAAGCATATGTACATGTATATTCCCGAGTAAAATACACATTTTGTTTTAGATCAGAGAATAAAGAGCAGAAACACGAAACTGATACAATAATTTCCTAGCGTATTTCTCGTTAATTAACCGAAAACAATCTTTTCTCAAGTGTTATTTATTTTTTAAAAATCCTTTCAGTGTAAGTACATGTATTTATTTTTATAAGTATATTTTTTTTTGTAAAGTGTGTAAAAAAAATATAAGAGAGAGAGAGAGAGAGAGACTCCGTGTAACTGACATACATGTACATCTGTGAAAAAAATATATGTACCCTAATTTTATTGAATTCACAATTAAAAATTCTAATAATTTTTAATTTTCACAACTATGGTTCATATTCAACTGTTCAACCCATTTACATATTCTCTGTACCTGTACACACGGAGGGGGGGGGGGTGCGGGGTCAAGGGGTTTAGCACAACCCCCACTTTTTTCCCAATATTACTTTTTCTATTGAAAATGTTCATTGAAAGACAGGTTGCCCCCCCCCCCCCCCAACACACACAAAGTTTATACTACGGTATAGTTATATAAGGGAAATGTAGTGTTGTATGCCAAGGTACTGGTACTGAAATAAGTAGCTTTTTCAACTTTGGGCAAGGTTTATCTTTGCTTGCCAACTTTTCCAGGTAAGAAAAAAATATTTCTTTGGCTACCCCCCCCTTTTAAAGACGATGCTACGTGCCTGGCTATTCGTATAGCTTTATAGAAAGGGGGTGGGTAACAGACCCTTTATAAAATAATTTATTATCTAAAAAAAATGCAAACCGTTTCCTTGTTTTGAAATTTTTAAATACAGCGTGTAAGTTGATCACTATTTTGTTGGATTATCGTAACATGTAGTCCGCGGAAGTTATGCTAGTGTTGAAGAGTTCCGATTTTGAGGGGAGATAACTCACTTTTGAAAATGGGGAATACATTTGAACATTTTGATCGTCTAATTTGGAATAATTTAAGATTTGATGCTAAAATAAATATTTATTTCACTAATCTCGCTGACTTTTCAATGAAGGTTGTCATTGTTTTTCATTTGATTTACGATATTAAATTATGTAGAACAAGGATTCTTCTGCATGAAGACGATTATTCTTATACTTATAGACTTCCCATTTCATTGCAATTACCTTTTCTTTATAATATTTTAATATATATATTAATCAAACGACTATCCGATAAGCGGTATCTTCAGTTTTTCAGTAGAAACCAATGGGGGCGAATCCACTCGGCGCGAACAAGTGATTGGAGCGAAACCACTCGGCGCGAACACGTAATCGGAGCGAAACCACCCGCATTCATGTATAAGTTGTACTCTAAGAAACATATGGGTGACTCTGACAAATAGCGTAAAATTCAAAGACTAAACTGTTATATTTATCCGGAATTTGTTTTTCAGCTACACTGACAAAAGTTAAGTATATTATACTTATAGATGTTTATGCCCACTGGCCCTGATTTGGGAATAAATCCCATTGTATTCCATTCTAAATAATCTGTAAATGCAGTAGCTTCTCAATCCTAAACCAGAAAAATGCTTTCTTTAAAGTGATTAAAAGAACCAGTTCGTCTTCTTTCATGCAATATAACACTTTTATGCTTTTTCAAAGGAATTAATAAATTTAAATCATAAAAAAAAGAGATGAAAGAAGACGAACTGGTAGCGTTTGGAAGGTGTTATGGAATAAAAATACCACACCAAGCAAATTTACATGAAATATTATAAAATGAAAGAAAAGACCTATAGCCCTCAAGGTTTCACTGGTCAGCATGATCAAGGACTCTAATAAATTCATTCAATACGCATACAGGTACGGAATGACTATATAAAATCTAATATTTATTTTTGAATATTAATTATGTCTATAAGGCAGCTATAAAGCTCCTCCGTTTTTCAATAATTTATTTAAATATTTAAAACTTATAGCCTTGAGTAGAAAACAGTCTCTCATTTCCTTAAATGTTTCAAAAATATATATATAAACAAATACTTTGATAAAGTCAGAATTACTAAATACAAGAAATTTATAATTTATCATTTTAGATTAAGAAAGACCATACTTTTACAAGAAAAATAAAACCATACTTGCCAAATTTCATTGAAATATGAAAAAGTTATGGCCAGTTAAGAGAACACACCTGTACGATTGACTGAATATGACATGATGATGGATTCTCCCCATGTAAATTTCAGTTCTTTTACAACTCATCATGTAAGATTTAGAAAGTTTATGCCATTGCAAGAAAAATAAAACCAATACTTGCCAAATTTCATTGAAATATGAAAAAGTTATGGCCAGTTAAGAGAACACACTAGTACGACTGACTGTGTATTACATGATGATGGATTCTCCCGATATAAATTTATGTTCTCTTTTAGTTTTACAATTTAATCACTTAGGATTAAGAAAGACCATACTTTTACAAGAAAAATAAAACCATACTTGCCAAATTTCATTGAAATATGAAAAAGTTATGGCTAGTTAAGAGAACACACTAGTACGAATGACTGTGTATTACATGATGATGGATTCTCCCTATATAAATTTATGTCCTCATTCAGTTTTACAATTTATCATTTTAGATTAAGAAAGACCATACTTTTACAATAAAAATAAATCCATACTTGCCAAATTTCATTGAAAAATAAGAAAGTTATGGCCAGTTAAGAGAACACACTAGTACGACTGACTGAATATGACATGATGATGGATTCTCCCCATGTAAATTTCAGTTATTTTACAACTTATCATGTAAGATTTAGAAAGTTTATGCCATTGCAAGAAAAATAAAACCAATACTTGCCAAATTTCATTGAAATATGAAAAAGTTATGGCCAGTTAAGAGAACACACTAGTACGACTGACTGTGTATTACATGATGATGGATTTTCCCTATATAAATTTATGTTCTCTTTTAGTTTTACAATTTAATCACTTAGGATTAGGAAAGACCATACATTTACAAGAAATGTAGAAAAATAAAACCATACTTGCCAAATTTCATTGAAATATGAAAAAGTTATGGCCAGTTAAGAGAACACACTAGTACGACTGACTGTGTATTACATGATGATGGATTCTCCCTATATAAATTTATGTTCTCTTTTAGTTTTACAATTTAATCACTTAGGATTAAGAAAGACCATACTTTTACAAGAAAAATAAAACCATACTTGCCAAATTTCATTGAAATATGAAAAAGTTATGGCCAGTTAAGAGAACACACTAGTACGACTGACTGTGTATTACATGATGATGGATTCTCCCTATATAAATTTATGTTCTCTTTTAGTTTTACAATTTAATCACTTTAAGTAGGATTAAGAAAGACCATACTTTTAGAAGAAAAATAAAACCATACTTGCCAAATTTCATTGAAATATGAAAAAGTTATGGCCAGTTAAGAGAACACACTAGTACGATTGACT